GTCAAAGAAAAGGAGAGACAAAAGCTTTTTATGTAAATAGAAAAATTAGAATTCCTTTTACGATGTAAAAAGAGAAGTAGCTAGCTTTTATATACAGAAACGAGAATAATTGTTGTATAATACAAGAGAAATATATCCTGTTTTTTGTTATAGTCTTATATGTTTTATTTAAAAAAACTAGTTAACGTAATTTTTTTGTCTTCTAGCTTTGTCCAACATCTTTTAATTAATATCCAATATTAACTAGATTTAAAGAATATATGGATATATAGGAAGATATAGTGGAGCGGATAAATCTTGCGTTGCTCAGTGTATTGTTGATAAAGATCATTATGCAGGGTGCATCTCAAAAATGGCTCACACCTATAACTTTTTTATTTTTTCAGATAAAAAAAACGGTATGTAAGAATATGACATAAATTGGGGATTGATTGACGTATTCCATTGTTTTCGGTCACTTCTTGTTTCACCAGAAATGATTACAACATTTGATTTTTAAATAGCACCTCGGTATATTTTTACTTAATTCGATAGAAAATGACATTCATGACGAATCATATGTACGTATCAACTTTAGACATATTCGCTTTAAAAAACATCGTACTTTAAATTTCAATCTAGAATGCCATGGCTATGTATTAGCGTATTTGGAAAAAACATTTTCTTACGAATAATTTCATACCGAACACTTGATATTTCGAGTCAAATTGTCGTTATGAACCCCATGTTACAATTTCAAATAAACCATTGCGAAAATTTCGAAAGTTGACATATTATATGTCATTCTATTCAGATTTTCTATGGAATAAAGTAAAAAATACCGACGGTGCCAACTGGATATACAAACTGTATATACAGGGTGAGCCTTAAATAAGTGCAAATATTTTTAAGGGTGGTTGTATGTCTACCATTGGGGAATAACCAAGAAAGACCGTAAAAGAATAGAGTTGATACGACAAAAGACCCAGGTAATAGATGTCATCCACAGAATCAAATCCCTCAAGTGGCAATGAGCAGAATGACGGACAACAGACCACAAAAATCACAGCATGGCACCCACTAGCAATTAAGAGACTTAGAGGAAGATCAAACCTGAGATGGGACCATGATATTAGGAAATTGGCAGGAACAACTTGGGCCCGCAGGGACAACCAATTGGCCAAACTACAAAGAGAGTATCTAAATATGTGAGGGAGGATCAGAGATATGGAAGTGGGAGAATGAGCTTCGACGAGTGCGCATCCAAGTTTTTGTCGACGGCAAGATGGCAGACATCTTCCAGGTCTCGCTGTCACTTCCCCTCTTTAATTGACATCTTGTGACATCTGTTTGTTTTTTTTTTTCGTTTGTGTTGTTATCTAGTTAAAATTTATTATTATCTCAATTATTCTAAACACTAATTCAAAAAGGCTTGTTGTATATTGTCATAGTCATTCTAAGATAGCTAATACGCCGGGAAAAATGATTAGTTTTCATGTGTAAGTTTATACAACATAATCGTGTTTACAGATGACCCAAAACTGTTTATTATTAGTTTTCCTAAAGGCGATTTGTAAAAATCGTGATTGTAATTGGGAATGGTCAAAAATAAGTGTATGATGTGGCCATTTAAAGAGGATGTTTTTATTACGTGTGGAGGAAGAAGATACTTGGAATCAATGTTCGTGCTTCTGTAAAACAGTGCACTCTTATAGTGTCCATGAAAGCACAAGTTCAAGTGTACCAGAAATATGTCAAATATTGTATCACTCAGGCAAACAGATTGGTCCTTACTTGACAAGAAGATTATTTGGAGGAAAAGAAGATAGGGTATTTTAATCGAACAGCAAAAATTTAACATTTTTATTGTGAAGTTTGTTGTAGATAGTTGTAGTTTTGTGCTAAATATTTCTAACCATTAGCAGCAGCAGTGTTCAGAGTGTCAAGAGGAGAAGAATTCAGTTAATTAGATTTATGCACAGTTACAGGTATGAAGGCTTTTTCAAACATAGTATCGAGTTCTATAGTCAACATTTTTAGTATTCCTACAAGTGTAAAAACAAGGAACATTGGACTGAAAAAATGGCAAGATTTATATAGGAAGAAAGGGTATTATGCCAATAAGAAAATTAAATCTGTAGGCAGAAGTTTATTATTTAAAAACTGTTATGGGGCATATATTAATTTGTATCTGTGCCACAAATCACAGAAAAATCATATGATATTCATAATTGTTAACGAGATGATATTTAAAGAGTGTTAAAAATGAGACTATTAGTCATGAAGCCTACCCTTTTACTTTAAGAGTGTTTGTTTCAATATTACACTTTTTTTCTTGTAAAATCTATGATGGAGTTCAAAAGCATTTTGCAATGGCCTTAAATTGTAAGCCAGTATTTATAGTAAAGGTATTTGATGCAATAAAACTTAATCAGTACCTTCCAGTATGTATTTTAGTAAGAGGATTGTCAATCCCATGTTTTTAAATAGATAAAATACAGGCCAAAGTATTACAGTTGAGAAGAAACTATTTTATCTTAAAAAAATTTTCTTAAAATTCTGAGATCATATAATCTAATTTTCTTAATAATAAATTAGGTATATGTTTGTTGTACATACAGAATTTTGTTATGGACAAATAAGGATCGGCAAGCTTCTTTTGTCCAAAAAATAAATGTTTTTTTCTAGTATTAAGACAAACCATAATGTGTTTTACAAACTTACCGGTAACAGTTTTTTTTTTATAAAAAAATATTTAGGAATAATTTGGGTTGTTATCAATATATTAATGACTTGAATTTTGACAAATTGAATTTGTATCAAAATAATTTTACGAAATATAAAATTGATGTTCTATTACAAGATTTTATTGTCGACAAAAACCAGGATAAATACTACTAATAATGTCCTTAATAAAATCAATGATGTTTATGTATTATGAAAATATTTGTTAGAGGACATGTTATCAGTTTTCGTAACACAATTTGAAGGGACGAATAAAAAAAATAAAATAAAAACATGTTTTTTCTAGGTTTATATTCAAAATACAAGGTAATCATCAAAAATAATTATGAACCAAATGTTTTATAAGTATACAACTTGAACAAAAATTTGTTTAGAACAATGTTTACCAAATTTGCAAAAATTTTAAATTGAAACGCGTAATTCAGTACAAGTAAACATGAAATAATTGTAAATACTTATTTAATGGCATTTCGAGTGTTAACGACTAAGAAAAGGTCATCTGTCCGTAGCGTCTTTTGTCAGAATATTCGTATATTTACTGTATTATATACCAATATTGTACGCAGTTTTGAAATTGATGATAATTAAATAAATCATATTAATGTTAACTAACCATAATAAATGATAGAATTTCACTAAATTTAAATTGCCCCCCGTATGGTTGAATACAGCAAATTGATATTTGATTACTTATAGATTACCACCTATATACAAAATGACACGGAGACCTGGAATATGGCGCCCAACTTGATTAGACCTTCTGCGCATGTTGACGCTCATTCTCTATCCCTTCTATTTCTCTGGGGAGGCTACACCAAAGACATCTAAATATAGGTAGACAGAACACTCCATTCATAAAACTCAATTTTTTAGAATCATACATGGTTTGGCACTTTTATGAGAGTTAAAAAGAGATGGGTACATAAATATGACAACACGGTTGAGTTTCGTCTGTCTTTCTGTCATTTCACTCCATCAGTGGCGTGACGGTGGTGTGGTGTTTTTTATCAAAATTTTAAAATAGTTATTTTGTGTATTTTAATTTAAATTTTAATTTGTAATATACGTAGTAATATCGATAATATACAATGTAGGGGCGTTTGCACCAAGTTTTTTAAGCAAAACTTAACACTATGTTTAGCTTATTTTCTTGCACTATGCTTTAATCTAACTTGAATTTATATTTAAATTAAGCGGTCAAATTTCCAGGCTAGTGGTCACTTAACCTATCTTAGACACAAAAATATTGTTTTACGAGGAAGAATTATTGTTATTCCTTTGAGAAAGCTAAAAAATGTATTATGATACCTCTACGTAAGTTCGATGATTACTTTTGATATCCTAGACGTCGATCAGTAGGTATATTCATTGAAAATGGATTTCCTCAAGAATGGATGTAAGGAAAAATCATATTGCCAAGAAATGAACCTCCTTAAGTTTTTAGGACAGAGACTTTTAAACGACACTGTAATATATATCATTATTAATTACCTCGGTTTAATTGAACAAAATCTAGAATATCAAAATGAGAGGTAAGTTGGAATGCTAGTAAATCTAATGTAAGATAAATTAATTATATTTATACTTTGAACCATTGTTCTTTACTATTTCCAGAAACAACAGCATAACTGCCATAAATCAACAACAATTTTATAGTATATTTGGGTTTCCTGGGATTATAGGGATAGTTGATGGAACACAATGTAAGAAAACATTCACCTGGTAAGTACCTATATATTTTCTTCAATATTTATCAGCACAAGGTTTCTTATACTTTACAGGGGGTATTGATGGAGAGGTATTTAGAAATAGAAAAGCATTATTTTCCCCAACATTTAAATTACGGAAATGCTAGTCTTAAAACTATAGACTTGATTGCTTGTTGGCATGGGTCTGTGCATGAAGCCACCATTTTTGGACATTAAGGACCCGCTTGGGGACTGGTGACTTTTCAAATTAAATCCTGCTTGGTTAGTGGTCCGTATATTTATTTACTGTTAGATCATTTATATAAAATATATTCCTTAAATATTTGAGTAGGTATTCAATTCAGAAATATATTACGAATAAGATGAATTGAAAGAAATTTTTAAATGTGATAATATTCAAAGGGTTCATATACTCTATTAAATTATTTTATTATCTGTTATAAGGTGAGATTGCATATGCATTGAGGGGATATATGCAGAAATACAGCTGAAGAAATGTTTCAGAATTATCGTTATATGGAAACGCCACTTTCCAATATGTGTTTTATGGTATAAAACCAAAATTACAAATGCAATGTCAGTTATTGTTGCACAACAGTTTGTTAAGAAAAATATTATCTGTTCAATTATAGAACAAAATTTAAAAAACTTAATGTATGTACTTAAATTTTTAGATTTTGTTGTTTCAATGTGCTACACAATACAGCCAGAATGATGCCTGAACAAGAGCTGCCGCCGTTAGATGAAATAAATATGGACCAAATTAATAAGAAGAGAAATAATAAATTATTTTGAAAGATTAGGGCAATATTTTTTTTAACTTATTCTAAACATGTTTTTATGTTGTTATTAAATCTCTTGAGTATTAATTTCTATAAAATATCATTATTAAATGTCTTTTATTCAGAAATAACATACATTACATTTTTTACATTACAATATAAACACTAATTAAAATTATTAAATAAGTTCTCTTTGAGAACTTTACTGTTCTTTTTTTATTTCAATGTCTAACAACCCTTTTTTTCTTTAGCTTATGTTCTTCTCTGTTTTGAATACTACTACTTTGAATTTTGCCCATCTCTATATTACAAAAGAACAGCCTTTTGTCTAGTAAATTAATATCTTCCCTTTTCTTCTGTTTCTTTGTAACCATCAGTTTTGTTTTGAGACTGAAAAAATATCTAAATATATTGAATTCTCTTAAAAGTAATAAAAAATTCAAAAACACAATGAAAGGTTAGTACTTACAATACCAGTATTCCTATTAGTTTTAGACAATCTATCACCATCATGTTTTTTAATCCCACAATGCTCTTCTCATTTTTACATTGAATATATTATTATCTTCCGTTTTTGCTTTTTGTATACGTGGACCTCCACCAGTTAGTCAAAATATATTTTAATAATTGATTTTCTTTTACATAGTATTTACACATACGTTGTAAGCTTTCCATACAAATTAGAAAGCCCAAAAATCCCGTTTTTCTTTGTGACTATGGTTGACCTTTCTTTTAAAGTAAGTCCAATATACAATTTAATTATTTCAAAATTATTAAAAAGTATGTTGTTCTTATATTTTTGATAATTTTTTTATATGAATATTTTGTAAATCCATTCTGAGAGTTAAAAATATCAAAAATATTGTTGAAAACTAAATGGAATTTAGAGGCCTCCTAAGAAAACTCTGGGCCAGTTTATGTATCCCTTATAAAATTCTATGTTTTCGGCGAATAAAATGACAATGTTAAAGCAAAGGATAGTAGCAGAAGATTGGATTTTTGTGTGGCAGGTCCTTTTAACATTCTTTCAAAAATACTTTGTACTGGTTCAGCTAAGGAAGCCTAAAAAAACATATATTATCTCTATTAATGTTATATCTCTATAATATTATTATTAGTCTTTTTTAGACACATCCAAATTCACTAAAGGGTTTTAAAATTTAGACCTGGCCTTGTCATGGAAATTAGAACCTTCCATTAATCGTATTTATGCCACTGTCATATGGATTAGTGTATCATTCACAAAATTAGACCAGAACTAAATTTAAAACTTGTTAACGAATCTTGGGGACAGATTTTGACATAATGGCTGTAGGACTAAATTATTAAATGGCTGATAACTTAACATTATTATAGTTCCCCTCCGCACGCCACTCAAATATATACATAAAATAGTGTGTCCAAGATAATAATTACAAGCACTGGGATCTCAGAAACAGTAAGAGATACAGCTTCAATTATTAGAAATTGCTTTTGGCGATTTTTACTTGATTTTTATATTTTTTTGGATCCTCACATATATTACTTTACTTTGACTTATAACCATTATGTTTTTAAAATGTCACCCTGCATATCTATATTCATACCTGAATGGTCAATTCAGTTGATACACTTATCAAAGATTTTTCTTTTAAGTAATCAATTAACTGATGCATTGATATTATTTTATTTTTCAATCTTCTAAGACCTATTTGTAAAGTATGTATTTTTCATTTTCTTTGTTTCCAAATTTTTACAAGACTTAAATTTCTACATAATATCATTATAATGCCTCATTAACATACTTCTTTCTGAAATTAAAATAACTTATGCACAATTTTACTTAAGATACAGAGTGGCGCCTCTTAAATGCTACCAAGGAGAAAGAGTTTGTATTGAAATTAAATTTTGGAAGTATATGTAGGTTAATTTAGAGCATTTAAACATATAAATGTGATAAAATATGTGTTTTTTTAAAATATGGAGTTCTACAGGGTGTCGCCAAAAAAGTTACACAACAAAGTTTTGTTTTTTGGAATGGGACACCCTATATATTATTTGATTTTCGGATTCTATGAGAAAAATAAAGGTGAATTTCATTATTGGACTAAAATTTAATTTTATTCCCTTTTATTTGAACACCGAGAGTACTATTCCGATCTTTTAATTGCAGTGTGCATTCATCAATTAATAGAATGCTTAAGGTCAAATTTTAATTTGGTTAAATATACAATGAGTAAATTTCCATCTAGGTAGCTGTTATTGAAATTTAAAGTTTATTCAGTATTTTCACCAAATGTGAAATATGACAAGCCTTATATTTTAGACATATGCTTCTTTAATGAAACTCACCTTTATTTCTTTCCTAAAATCCGAAAATCAATTAATATATAGGTGTTCCATTACAAAAAAAAAACTTTCATGCATAACTTTTTTTGGGGACACCCCGCAGAACTCTTGATATTTCTATAAAATGCTTTTCATTATCCTACATATGCTCCCAAAATTACATTAACGATAAAAACCACCGTTCTCTTTGGAGCCTCCGCGTCGTAGGAGAGGCACCACCTTGTATATAATGTAGAGGTAATTTTTACCTTTTTCTGATACTTTGACGACTTTCTTGAGATAATAAATATCCAACTATTGAGATCAGAAGATGAGGATTGTCTTACTATGCTGTAAACAAACAAAAACATTAATAATTAATTTTTCAATAAAACCTATTTTCGTTTTTATTTTTTCCTAAATACTAATAATTTCCTTCTATAGTATTAAATTTATCATTAAGCGAGAATGTTTTCTAGTGCAAAACAGAAGCTCACTCATAGAAAATATATGTAAACAAAAACCAACACTATGGCAAAAATTATGTAGTTTATGATCTTATAATGTGGAAGATAATTCCAAATAACATATCCTTGACAAAACATATAAAATAAAAGATAGCTATGTTAATTATACAGGATTTCTGGATATTCGACCGATAAAGCTTGACAATGAGAAGCAACAAGTCTCGTATTTTTATAAAAATTAAGATAGGGAGGTAAACCCATAAAGTGCTTAATTAATAAGATACAAAGTGATATTAGTAATGTTATATTACGTTATATTGTTCTATTAAATATTATAACAGCTTCCTTGAAATCTATTACTGCTAATGACATAAACAAAGTGTCCCCTTTTCTGCAAGAAAGATAGAGATGTCAATTTTTAAATAATTAAGACGGCAAACAAAAGCAGAAAAATGTTATTTTGAAAAAGCTCAATGTGTCAAAGTATCCCGTCTACTATAGTTACGTCAAAGTATGATTAAGAATGTATTTAGATTTTTTACCGCAAAAATTGTGTCTACGAAATTTCGCGTCTCAATTTTTTAAAGAAATACCTGGATATGTCAAAATTAAACTTACTATTGTGACACCCTGTATGTTAAAAAGTAAATACTTCGCAAGAGGGTGTACACCTGTATTCAATAAGGCACAGTACACTACTTGACAATAATAGTTATAATGAGAGTATTTCATTTAAAATATATTACATACTAGTTGAAGCCTGGCGCATCCGCCACGACATCAGGAAAAAAAAATACTTATTATTTTTTTTAATTAAATGAAAAATAAAAATCCGGCGATGAGCCAATTAGCTATCTTTTAGTAAAAAAGCAACTTTCTAGAGCAAGTCGTTACTTCAGTAGAGACGACACAGATAAACATTAGCATTTTATATTATTATTATATTATATATATTACTTTGTTATGAATACAGCTATATTCCCATTCTGTTAAAAATACAAGAGCTTTTAAGCCTTGTCAGTCAAACATCCAGAATACACTTACAAAGAGCACATACTGGTTAATTCCAACTTCTTTTTCCAATGCCGTTTCTGTTGTTTTGAGGGAAGGGCTTCTTGAGAAGGGCTAGTTTATCTTGTATGATTTTAGGCAAAATCCTGTGAATTTTAATTAATTATAAATATTAAAATACATGTATAAAATGTATCAATGTTCTTACAAATTTGAGGGGCCAGCCAAATTGCCAATCGCGGGACTAGGTAGGGACCTTCTCTAGTCCCTCAGCTGGTCTGGAGGTTCATTTACCTAAAACATTTTTTGGGTGGCGGTACAAACTAGAAGAAAACCTAGAGTAAATCCTAATATTAGTACAATACTTATTTATTAACTGTTAAAATGTATTTGACTGCTTTTTACCTGTATGATAAAGCCCCAGCAAAAATGGTACTATCTATTTGAGGCTCAGAATTTGGTCTTATTTGCCTTCGATCAGTTAATTCGGCGATCATAATATTGCTCTTATCAAAATCATCAGAACAAATTTGGACACACGTTAGTTTGATTTTTCAAATTCAAGAGTGAAATCGATCATTGTCTAAGCTCAGTATTTATAGGAACGCTACAAAAGTACTATTGGTTACATATGCAACACATACATATTAAGTATTATAAATCTATTTAATAATATATGTAAAATAATAAAAATATGCGGTAAAAAAAAGGAAAAATTAACCTAAAGGAAAAATTTTCCAAGGTTTATTTTCCTCTATTTAAAACACCAGATATGTACTCGCCTGTGAATTGTGTGTGTGTGGGTGTTTAGGTAAGTGTGGGTAAAAGTGTAAAGGGTTCCAAAACTAAAAAAAAATATCATAAATGAAAGAGTAAAGAATTATCATAAGTAAGGCTTATCATTATCATTCAAAACAATGCATATTTTTTAAGTACTGAAGCATCATTATAATTTTATTTATTTTATTAACTTTTTTAATTTGAATTTTGAATACCTATATCTAAACCTTACCTATTAGGTAATTACTTATAGAATTTTTTATAATAAATAAATAATAGATCTATCATATGTGTTACGGCTAATATCTAAAACCTGCTAATGTTAACTAGAGTTCAATAAAATTAATATTTAGATTGCAAAAACAGTTTTCTTTCAACATTGGGGGAGAAATGTGGAAATTATCTAGCCAAAGTCTGAAGTAATTATAAAAATTAAATGTCTTTAATTGAACATTAGCTAATTTTGTCATACTAATTTAGCATACTAAGCACTGCTTTAGCCATAATAAGGTGCATAGTTAATATAGAATATAACTGAATAATTTTGATGTTCAAATCGTGTTCAAATTTCAGGTATTAACTACCTATAACAGCAACAGCTGTTTTATTTCAACAGATATTAGCCATAACATACACAATTTTTAAGATATTTATAGCGGTTTCGAATGTTAGTTGGCACTTAGATATATAATATAAAAAAGGTTTTTAAATGTTAAGTTGAGAACAGCCAGTATTACCCCTGAGCATTTTTTACCACCAACTGTAACAGCAAAATGGACAAATACATAAAATAATTGACTTAAAACGTAGATCGGTTTTGCC